TATACTAGGAAGTGTATGAATATCTCGAGGAACTTGATGAAATGAATTGGTCAGCCCGAGGTAATGTATTGAATCAATATTTGAGCAACACTTCAATTGGAACGACAGTAATAGAAATAAGAGGTTTAACTTCTTTGTATGTTTGTTTTATAGTTTTAGTTTAATTTATTGAGGTTTTCACTTATTGGTGAGGGATTTCCCAGCAGGCTATTGCCGAAATTGATAGTGGAACCGAGCTACCTACGATTTTAACGTCCTTATCCGAGAATTAAGACGCGAAAGTCGTTACCATTTACTTATAGTACTTATATTACAAACATTTTCTTCACAGAACTAAATATTAGCTACTTCCTAATAATCGTAGCTAATATTTAGTTCTGTGAAGAAAATGTTTGTAATATAAGTACTAAGTACTTAGTTCAGTAAAGTCCACTCACTAGCTCGGTGCACGACGAACAACCGTCAATCAGTTAGAATTTATATGATGATCAACGTCTAACTAGCTTTAAGCTTTCGTTTGTTCTCACACCGAGAAAGTGCCTATGTCAGTTTGTATTAGAATTTATATGATGATCAACGTCTAACTAGTTTTAAGCTTTCGTTTGTTGTCACACCGAGAAAGTGCCTATGTCAGTTTGTATTAGAATTTGTATGATGATCAACGTCTAACTAGTTTTAAGCTTTCGTTTGTTCTCACACCGAGAAAGTGCCTATGTCAGTTTGTATTAGAATTTATACGATGATCAACGTCTAACTAGTTTTAAGCTTTCGTTTATTCTCACACCGAGAAAGTGCCTATGTCAGTTTGTATTAGAATTTATATGATGATCAACGTCTAACTAGTTTTAAGCTTTCGTTTGTTCTCACAGCGAGAAAGTGCCTATGTCAGTTTGTATTAGAATTTATATGATGATCAACGTCTAACTAGTTTTAAGCTTTCGTTTGTTCTCACACCGAGAAAGTGCCTATATGTCAGTTTGTGTTAGAATTTATATGATGATCAACGTCTAACTAGTTTTAAGCTTTCGTTTGTTCTCACACCGACAAAGTGCCTATGTCAGTTTGTATTAGAATTTATATGATGATCAACGTCTAACTAGTTTTAAGAAAGCTTTCGAGAAAGTGCCTATGTCAGTTTGTATTAGAATTTATATGATGATCAACGTCTAACTAGTTTTAAGCTTTCGTTTGTTCTCACACCGACAAAGTGCCTATGTCAGTTTGTATTAGAATTTATATGATGATCAACGTCTAACTAGTTTTAAGCTTTCGTTTGTTCTCACACCGAGAAAGTGCCTATGTCAGTTTGTATTAGAATTTATATGATGATCAACGTCTAACTAGTTTTAAGCTTGTCACACCGAGAA